TTTTTTAGGATCAGTGGATATTTGAACAGCATTATCTTCGTGTATGAAGTTTATTCTTCAAAGGCTACTTAGTCTGCCGTGTGTTTGATTTACCGTACAATATCTCATTTTTTGTCAGAAGTTTTTTTCTATTATTTACTAGTAGGGCAGCGTGGACATTACTGGCTTTTTTAGATTTGTTATTGAATTGTCTGCAGCAGCTCTTGTATAACTGGTGTAGGTTGTGGATTCCTTCAATAATTCCACTACTAAGAAAGTGATGTCAGTGATTGTGAGCAACAGAGCTTCATAAATTCTGACTCTAGTAATGATGAGTTCTATGGGTTCAACGAAAACTAGAAGAGTACTCGAACTTTAAAGTCTCTCTTTTGTTAATGACAGTGATGATGGTTCTTAATGCCACTGTTGACTGCTGTTCACTTTACAAGGTTGAAATACGGTATTCCTGTATTCTGTTATAGTTTATTGAATAGTTTAGTAAACCATTTGATTCAGAATTTTTTTTTCTTGTTTTCCTCCTCTAAAATAAGGTGTGTCTTATGGTCAGGTGCGTCTTATAGAGCGAAAAATACGGCATATTGACCGAGTTCGCATGACGTGCTAAGTTACCATGACTTCGGAAACATGGTGACTTTGTGGCTGCATCCACAGGTAACAACTACCCCTTCCTTGTTCAGTAAGGGCTTCGTTATTCTGTGTGAATTCAGCATCCATGGTGAAGCACGGCCCCTTTGGTTTCCACGGAACCACTCAAAGACACAACAGCTCGCTGTAAGATGTCCGTGCTTCATCCTGGCCTGTCTCCTGTGTGACACCAGCTGTCACATTTCCACGCAGTGTCTGCATTCCCACAGCGAGCGTGCTGGCCAGCGCAGCCACGGCTGCTGCAGACACGCCCGCCTCCGCTGTCCTGCCTAGGAAATGCTGAGGCGGCTGCAGCCAAGCTCCGGCTGGCCGCATCCGTCCGCCATCTTCCCTGCCAGCACACAGCTTTCCGACACCCAGCCACAGCGACAGGACCTGCCGCCATACTGCTTCCAGCAGCAGGGACCGTGGAGACAGCCAGGCCTGGCACTGCTGCCCTGTGGCTGGTAAAAACTGCATCAGGGCCCCTTCTGTGCCTGACCTGGCAGGCACGCCATGAGCCTTGGGGCAGACAAACCACAATGCATAACTTTCCACACAGTTTGTTTTGTGGTGTGAAGCCATCGTTGGACTCATTTGCCTTGTATTTTGATTAATGTCAATACTGTATTGCCAGTAGTGCTGCCCATTTTCTTGCAAAGGAAAAGGAAAAAAGTAGAGGATTTTTTTAAGCAATGCGTCTCTACTCACTGCAATCTCAAACGCACAATTCCTAAGTGCAAAGAACCAAATTTGTGGAACTTGTCATGGGTAGACTTGGGAAGCAACTTTCTTTATTTCCAGCTCATTTTTTTCTGCTTCTAGTATTTGGACTTTGTGGAACAAATGTGACTTTGGCCATCTCCCATTAACAAAGAAACATACTTCGGCGAATGGGGCGGCACAGAAGCTTCCTAAATAAATAAATAAATAAATAAATAATACTTTATATCAGTTGGATTCTCACAAGGCCATTCGGCATTAAGTACTTTATTTACAGAACAAGTAGTCATCCATTTATACTAAACTATGTTGCATCATGCTAGACTTGACTTAACCCCAGATGAACACTTCACGATAAAGGCGGCAAGAGAGAACAGTGATTTAATTCAGTAGCGAACATCAGACCGTACTTCACCATACGTAAGATCACTGTTGTAGCAAACCCTCCACATCTGTATTCAGGTCATGTGTAAAACTGCCATCGGCTAACAACCAGGTCCCACTAGCTCCCCACGTTGGAGGGGAAAAGGCTCCCTTTTGTTCATTGTCTGACCTCTCTCCGAGAGACAGGCAACACCAGCAGAAGACACTGAAAAGCCTCTTTAATGCAGGTGCACACCAGCAATACAGAGAGTCATCCAGTGGGGATTGCTTCTCCTCCATTCATTCAACATACCCCATACATGCACTTGATCTGGCAATGATACGAGCTATCATAACAAGATGCATTTCTAAATAAAGGCAGGACACGTCTGTTAGTGGAAAGAAAACATAACAAGCAGGAAATGTTTAGTTACTTTTTTTGTACAGGGTTATCTTGACCTACACTTTCTTTTAGGACACTTGACGGCAAAGCATCTGCCGCCAGGCTAATCTGTACAGATTCTGGCCTTCTTGAATTTTATTTTATATATTTTGACCCTTTTGTGTTTCTTTGATAGAATACTAACTGCCTAATACTATTTGTTGTTTGGTCATCAGGAAAAAATTATACTCTTCAGTGAGATCTCATGAAGTCAGTAAGCTGGCCGTCCTCTTTTTAAATCTGAAAAATGCCTACAAAATTTATGTTCAGAAAGGCTCCTAGGATGCAGATCAGGCCATCTGGCTCACAGCAGAAAGAAAAACTAAACACAAGAAGTTTGTTTTCTGCTGAGTCAGACGCTTGGTCAGTCAGTCCGGCCGGCCGGCCACCTGCCGGCCGGCCGGCCAGTCACCCTCAATGCTGCTGGCAAGGACTGCTCCCAGCTGTCCAGGGTTCAAGTGAGGCCTTTTCTGGACACATCCGGAAATGTGAGGAACTGAACTTGGGGGCCCCCTTCTGCCTGCAGGGACTCTGCCACTGGGCTACATGCCCCCTAGCTCCAGGGCAGATCTCGCCCGACCCCTTGTTAATAAAGAAGCAAGCACACTCTGGAAAGCAAAGTCTGGCCAATCAGTTTGCCTCTTCGTGGCCAGAACATTTATTGCATTTTCATACCACCCAATAGTCAAGGGCTTGCTAATATTCCACATCATCTTGGAATATTATGGCTACAGTATAGAAGGCCGTTTGCAAGGCTTCTCAATGAATGTCCTGCTCCTTCTAGACCTGTTCTCCCCTGCAGAGGAAGGCAGGACACGCTCCAAGGGAGCCAAGCTCAGGGAACCCAGGTTCAGTTTGGATGCCAGGAAGCACTTCCTGACAGTCAGGACCCCGAGGGCGTGGAATGGGCTTCCCCGGGAGGTCGTTGAGGCCCCATCGGTGCAAGGATAGGCTGGACGTCCACATGGTGGGCATGTCGTTAGCAGAGCCAGCTGGAGCCGGGGGTCAGACTAGATGGCCTGGGGGACCTCTTCTGACTCGCGCTGTTTCTGTTTCTACCTTGCAGTACAATTGTACTGATAAGCGAGGGTGAAGGAGGAGGGTAGGCAGCGAGTAGGGAAACTCCCTCCCTGAAATTTGTTAGTCGAGACCAAATCTCATTTCTCACAGGCTATGCTCACTCTTGCATCAGTCTCACAGCAGAATCACCAAAGGAGTTTGCTGAACTATAATTGCAGCAATTCCCCAAAGACTATCATCCTGCGCTTCAAATCCGCAAGCGGTATCAAAAGCCAGGGCCTGGATCTTCTCACTTAAAGGGTGCTGCTTCTCCCTCCTTGTGGCAAAGGTCAGTACGTATCAAAAGTACATGTTGCAACAGAATTCTGCACCAAGGCTTCTTTTCCTTGGGATGACAAAGATGCACAAAGAAGGGTACTAAAGATATAAAAATAATCCCAACAAAATTAATTCATATTTTGTTATCAGCTGCCTGGTTAACGATAGCAGAAAAACATTATTTTTCCATTATTTTTAATCATTGCTAAATTAATAGAACATACTGGATCCCAACAAAGCAGGCGCTTTGGAGGTGGCACCAGCCATAAGGACTAGAGGCACTTATAGCCTTACCCTCCAGGGAGCAACCAGACAGCGAGGGCAATTTTACTGCAATTAGGCTTATTAGTTTTCAGGGGCGGAGTCTGTTGATTGTTTGCTTCATTAAAGATTCTGAAACCCTTTAGGCTAGTTTAGAAAGCAAAGCAAAACAAAACAGTTTACAGTAGCTAAACTAAATAGTCACATGTACCACGTCACCGGGAGTGAGCCAACCCGATTCCCGTGCCCGGACTGATACACTCACAGGGGCAAAGAAGCCACGGTGGCGTCTACACAGCGCTTGTGTGCCTTGAGATGGCCTACCTGCCCTTGTGATTGCCTGCGTTGTCTAAAGCTGGCAAGGTGTGTAGCGAAAGGGGGCTGCAAGCCCACCACAGAACCCTACAACAATCCATTGTTTCTGGGATGGTTTCGAAGCCAGGTTTGGATAATGCCAGCAGCCACGAGGATAAAGAGGCAACTCTCATGGTGCGCAACCAGTTCAAATAAGTGGATGGGTGGCACAGGAAGAGCGCACCGTGGCTTCATTTCTTGTTGTGGTTTCTTTTCCTGCTTATTATCACAACCGGGCCAATCGTTCACGTCTAAGTGTTAGTCCTACTGGAAAGAAAAGAAAGCCATATGCTGCTTTATCAGACAGACCAAGCAATGGCAGCCAGAAACAAGTAAAGCCATGAGAGCCAACAAGGAAGGAGGAAACTCCAGCAAAGACAAGTTATATAAATCTCCTTCCACAAAACTTCCCTTATACAAAACTTCAATGTGATCGCACACAGAATATTGTGCACAGTTCTGGTTGTCTTACCTGAAAAAAGGCATTACTGAAATGGAAAAAGTGCAGAGAAGGGTAACAAAAATGATCAAGGGGCGGGACCAACTCCCCTACAGGGAGCTACTACAGCAGCTGGGGCCTGTTTAGCTTTAAAAAAGGGAATGGGAGATATGACAGAATCATATCATAAAACAAAGTTATAAAATGATGAATAGTGTAGAAAAAGAGGAAAGAAGGGCATTTCTCTCCCTTTTTCATAACACTTCATTCCATGAAGCTAACTGGGGGGAGATTTAGGATGGATAAAAGGAAGTAGTCCGTCAAAGAGCACACAGTTAAAGTATGGCATTCACTGCCACAGGAAGGGGTGAGGACCACCAGTTTGGATGGTTTTAAGAGGGACTGGACACGCTCACGGAAGAGGCTATCAATGGCCCTGCTCTCTCCGCGTGCTACCTGCGTTATCAGAGGCAGTGGCTGAGGAGCGTGGGCAGGCAGAAGCCTTGTCCCCATCCCGCTTGAGGAATCCTGCAGACGGTTAGGCTGCCACTGTGTGCACAGAGAACTGGACCGGAAGGGCCCTGCTCTGATCCAGCATAGCACCTCTTACATTCCGATGACGTTCACACAGATGACCGACTCCTCAGAAGAAACAGTGGTGAGATTGTGTTTCCTGCCAGAAACCAGATGGAAGAAAAAGGTGTGGAGATGAAGGGAATACACGGAAGCACACAGCCTTCCCAGTATGCAGCCTACATGGAACGCAAATAAATCTGTACTGATTTGCTGTTGTGCTGCTGTCAAGGGTTGTTGTTTTTTTCAATGAGAAAGCAGCACATCACGCCGCTTGTTGGAGTTGGCAGTCTTGCACATGGCTGCGATAATGAACACATCTCCTACACTTCAGTCTCACCAAGCATAACTTAATGATGCCTCAACAGATGGAATTACCATATTTATTCACAACTCCGTTTTTTTCTGTTACTAAACTTAGACAAGGAGGGTATAGATTTGTGCCAAGTTCCTTTGATTTAACCTACAATTTAAGCCTTTTACAACTGCGTTGTGACTTGTCTGCCTGATTAAGAAGCCATAAATGAAGCAAGAAAGACCCAGCCCTGGTTAGAATCTGCCCGTTCAAGAGAACCACTTGCTTCTCCGACATCCATCCGCATCTCTGCTAATTTGTTTCAGCCATCTCAGGGACAGGCTCCATAAAGTTTACATTTAAAAGGGGGATTTCCTTTTTAACATGGAAACCAGGAAATCATGGCTGAACCCTTCGGCCCACGTTTGCATTTGTTTACTCAGAAGCAAGTCCGACAGTGTTCAGTGGGGATCACTCCTTCCAGGGGACTTTGGCCTTAACCCCGGAACTCTTACGGGACTTTAGCAAGCGGCCTGCACTCACCCTCTTCTCCCTTCTCCAAAGCCAACTGGTGGTTTCCCAAGCATTGCACAAAGCATTAGACAACGCCCTCTGAAGCGCAACAGTCCTTTTCAAATTCACTGTCCTCTGTACCTTTCCTCTCATCGCAAGTCATGGACAACAGGGCACTTCAGTAACCGAGCAGGAACTGCCTGTTAGCGGAATACGGTACACAGACACTGCAGAAGTGAAGTAACTAATAGCAGTGCTGTGCAGCAGGAAAAGTTGAATTTATTAGTAAAACCAAATATGTACCAAGTGCAAATATTATACAAGTGCGGCAGTTTCAGAGTTGTAATTAATGTTTTTCAGGTGATTATCCTGAGCAAGTATATGTCATTGACCTCGTTCACATACAAAAAAGATCGGCAGCAGAGGCCCTCCTCCGGGAACCCTCTTTGAAAGAGGTCAGGAGACAGAGTACCCGGAGCAGGGCCTTCTCTGCGGTGGCACCCTGACTATGGAATGCGCTCCCCAGACAGGTCCGCCTGGCACCGCCATTATATGCTTTTCAGCGCCAGGTCAAGACCTTTTTATTTGACCATTTTTTTTAACATATAGTAATTTTAATTGTGTTAGATTTATTTAATTCATTTTAAATAGATTAGTTTTATGCTCAGGGTGGAACTGTTAACTTATTTTATTGAGGATTGAGATCATGTCGTAAGCTGCCCAGAGACGACAGTGATGGATGGCCTACAAATTTCCGAAATAAATAAATAAAACCACGCAAAACAAACAATGGGATACGGCATACAAGCAGGCGAGAGCAAGCACACTGCTTCCCATGTACACACGACGTGTTCTTGTGACCCACAATTTATGATTGGCCTGTTTGTTGAGTGCGACACGTGAGCAAAGCACATTGGATTGTTTAGGGGTTAAAGCAATCGGGCAGTTAAGCTATGCTGTTGAGTCAACTCCTGAATGGTTTAGTCCCTCAGCAACCCGACGCTCCTGGTCCATTGGCTGCACTCAGCCACCGGTGAACAAGGCAACTGCATGTCGGTGAAAAATGGGCACACAGGCAGTGCAGACTTTTTCCTACTCATGCAAGATAATCCATGAGTGGTTTAAATCATGGGCTGTCAGTACATAAAACTCGCCCACTGATTGAGCCTCAGTTTATTGACTCTCATCCAGTCCGTTATCGAGCTCAGGCCACGGTTCAGGACAGTAAATCCTCGGCCCAAACCGCCAGATGACCTCTCCCCAGTAGCTTCATTTGGTGTTAAAAAAGCGTGGGGGATGGCACTGCGCCCTGCAGTACCCCGTGACACAACCAACATGGCTCAGAGCAACTACCCAGTGCTACCTTGTGGATCCAGCCAGCCTGGTAGGAGTGGAACCACCGCAACAGCATGCCTGCAACCCCAACCCTGGCCGACCTGTCCAGAAGAACACCATGGCCGATGGTGTCGGAAGCTGCCGAGAGGTCAAGAAGAACCAACCGGGCCGCACTCCCCCATCCATCTCCCTGCACGGGTCATCATACAGAGTGACCAAGGCTGTCTCTGTTCCAAACCCAGGCCTAAAGTCCAATTGAAATAGATCCAGATAATCTGTATCCTCCAGAAGTGCCTGCAGCTGCCCGGCCACCACCTGCTCCAACACCTTGCCCAAAAAGGGGGATTAACAATGGGCTGGTAGTTACCCAGCAACCCTGGATCCAGGCCTGACCTATTTGGAGTGGCCTCACTACTGCCTCCTTTAATGGGGCAGGGACCACTCCCCTTCTTAAAGAGGCACCGACAGCCTTCTGAACCCATCCATGTGTTTGAGAATGAAATGAAACTCACAAATAGTGACAAGCTTTAGTGGAAAGCAGTTGAACTCCAACAAAATATGTAAGTGATTTCAACGTACCATATACAGTACTAAAATTAATGAAGAGTGTCAACAGTTTTCAATTAGATCATTCCAGAGCACCAGAACAAAGATTTTCAAATAAAATCTTTAATTTTTCCTATGTAAATTAACCTATTTTCCATTGGAAAATTTTCAGTTTAACATTTTTCAAAAAACCCGTATCACAGAGGAGCAAACCAATCCAACGTGCCTGCCTCTATACCACTGGACTTCGAAAATTAGAGGCATCATACTGAGGACAGAAGGAACACGAAGGTGAAGGTTGTCTCTACCCATCTCCTGCTCTGCAAAACACTTAGACAGCTGACAGCATCCAAGTGTTTTGTCCCTGCTTGCAAGAAGGAAACACCGAGGCCTTGCCAGCATGCAGCATATTCCCACAGAGACTCATTGCACCCTGCCCTGCAGATCAGCTGCCAGTGTCGACTGCAAGATTGATCTTCCATCCTTGAACCTTCAGCCAGAATGGGAAGAAAAAAACCATGCCAGGTGGCTGCTCTGAAGCCAGAATCCCAGTGGTGATCTTTCCCATGGGCACTGAGACAGCCCCTAGTGGTCACAGAATTGCACCCTGAAATTAATTATAATCTGGGAGTATTGATTTGGAAAGAATGAAGAGTCAAATGAAGATTAATTATTATTATTACACTGCATTGTCATCACACCTTTTTCCCCCTCAAGTGAGAAACTCAAGGCAGAGAGATGTGCTCTGTTTGGTTTCTGTATGGTTCCTGAATCCTGGATCACAGTTCACAATAAGCGTTCTCATACTTAAACGTTTTATTCTGTTCTAGCACCAACAGAATTGCAATTTGTAAGGCAAGGGGTTCTAATCTCATGTTTACCACATAATGTTAATAATGAGGTATATGGGAAAGAAAGCAGCATTTACAAGGAAGAATCAGTGGTGGGAAATGGGGTGCTTAATTTCTTCTCTGTTTATCCCAGGTTACCTTTAACAATATTTTTAAACAATAAGCCCAGTCCGAGAGGGGAAAAAATACCTCTATGGCTGAGGAAAATCAGTAGGATGGTATAAAGTGCTACTTCCTCCCTGAACAACAACAAGAAAAGGGTATGGGAAGTGTGAATTTAAAAGAACAATTCACAGTAGGCATAAGCCTATTTGTTTGAAATGTAATGGAAATTTCACTGGATAAAAATAAAGCCCTGGGAATAAAGAAGTTATTTGTCAATTGTACGAAGTATCAGAACCATGGTACTGACCTTAGGACTAGAAAATAGAGGGGCTTCCCTGTGTAAACTCCCAAGGAAAGTACTATACCATTTAGTCATCTTTCATTTGCTCTCTCGTTTAGACTCACTTGCAAAACAGATCTTTCTCCATGCATGCCTGATCTAGTCTAGCCACATGCTTCTGATGTACATGAATTAAGTAATCACCAATATGATTGGCAACAATTCCTGTGATTGCTTGGACTAGAAAGAATACCACAGTAATTATGAGACTGCTCCTGCAGTGGCCCAGTCCATACTTAATTTGCATGTAAAAAAGCAAACAACACATCCAAGATAGGCTCCACACAGACACTATTCACACTTGACAATCCCCTTCCACACCCTCTGTGGTTTCACAGTATACTCAACTAAACAGGGCCTTCCCTTTCCCTTTCCATTAAACAGATACTTCAGGTCTACGTTCTTTAATCTGCATTCTTCCCCTTCCTTCTCATCTCCACAGTTGAAATTTTCTTTTAGTTATTTAAAAAATACACTGGGTTGGATCCAACACTGCCATTCCGGGGGGAGGGGGGGCAGACTTCCCTGTTTTTTCCATCACCACAGCCCCTTGCATACCCTCCAACAAAAATCTAGAAAAATTGCGGGGGGGGGGACAGAAAAGTCCTGTTCCCCCATAATACCCATTCTGTTGGCAGAAGAGGGATGTTGTGCCCAACTCTCGAAGTTTATACAGTAGAAAGACGCATAAAGCTACTTTATACCTTACAATTAGATGAATAATTACTCTGTCCTTAAGGCTCTGAATGACTTGCATAAATATTTCAAACTTTACATTTAAAAACATGATTTGCAGTTTATTCTCCACCACTTAAAAAAGACATTGACACAGTAACAGTGTATGTTGGCAGTACCTTTTTTAAGCGGTAGAGACTAAACTTCCATTCTCCAATTGAAAGCTGGAAGTTTTTCAAAAGTTCCATTTGAAAAATACAAATCTAAGTACGCTGCTCAACAGCGGAGTCTTTCACAGGATTAGGGTTGTCAAACCACTGACTAAAGGAGTGACAGTGCTTGCCTTGACAGGCACCCAAGGGAAGAGGACAGATGCCATAATGACAAAGGAAGTGCTCTCCCTGGTCCAACACGCAGGTAATGCTTCCCACAACTCAAGCTTATTTATATCACCCGTCATGGCAGAACCTACGCAGCCCTGAGGGACCGACATTGTTCCAGACAAGCCAGTTGCTAAGAAAGCAACCGCATACTACAAATCCGTGCAAGCTGAGCTGTGTTTATTTAATGTTTAATGAGTGGCACAGATCCATAATTTTATTTTCTATACACTAAGAAATGTGCAATACTTTCCACATTTATACAATAATCTAACTATATCACCTTAGTCCTACATCCACCCAGAACTTTGCTTCCTGTCAACAACACTCTGAGCTGGTTTGATTTATCTACCAGACTGAGATCCATATCTCAGAACAGAAAATGTTATTAACGTATGTTCTGTCCTCAAAGTAGAACAATACAAGGTTTATTCCAAGGAGAAACACTAGCAATTATTTAATTCTGACATCAGCAACATCCATCAGATACACCGCCTTCCCTTAGCTTCAAATTTTGTATGCATGGTACATCTCTCCACTGCCACCCCCCTTTATATCTGTATCTGTATCTCTATATCAGGTCCTGCACAACTTGTGCTCTCTAAGAGGTTCTGGATTACAACACCCAGCATTCCTGACTATCAGCTATGTTTACTGGGGCTGATGGAAACTGAAGCCCAGAACATTTAGAGAACACAAGACTGAAAAAGGTGGAAATAGATGTGTGTGTTCTGCTTTGTCTCTTCTTGGAAAAAAAGCCCAATACGGCTCACAACAAAAATGCTCTTGTTATCTTAATTTTAAAAAACAAACATACAAAAGTCAAATTCATACTAAACCTCACTGCACTGGGAGGCCCATTAAGGCAAGTGAAATAAAAAAGCATCACCAGAAATTGCACCTTTTTGCTTCCAGAGTTTAAAATGTCACACTAACCTATAAACTTTTTAAAATCTTCCCTGTATCCTTGAAAATCAAGCTGCCCCAATCACTGATTCACAATCACAGAGAATGAATCTATGTGCATGCTCACGCACACATGAAAACCGTAATGGCAGAACCTGTAATGACTCAAGGGTGGAGATATGGTATATTGCCAATGTGCACTTTCTACCTGCTCCACGCAGTACCCAGAACATTGACGAAACAATTGCTCTGTGAATGCGCAAGTCACAGCATAACAGTGAATCCTACATAAATCTTGCTTTGGCCGTGTAATCCTTGGGCAGCCACAGACTCGGCCTCAGCTCCCACCCACCCTGCCCTTGCAGCTGCAACGTGACTGCCAGTTAAAAAAAAAAATCTGATTTATCCTACAGGGTTATTGTGAAGAGAAAAGCCCCAGGCATGAGCTGATAACCTCCTCAAGGTGCAGTTTCACCTACCCAGCAGGGTTGTTGTAAACATGAGAGAGAGAGAGAAGATACTGCAGGCATGCTGCTTCACATGGTTAGAGAAGGGGCACAACGGAAACACAACTGATTCACAAACACCACCCACACTGACACTCCCAAGCAACTGCCCTCTTAAACCAAGACCAAGCCATCTTGGCACCTTCCAGCTGTCTTTTTAGACTACATCTCCAACAGCTCACTTCCCCATTGTTGCATGGCCAAAGGTCAAGGATGATGGGAGATGTAGTCTAAAACCAGGACGGGGGGCAGAAGGCCCATTTTCAAATGCTTAGGGCCCCAAATCTCAGAAGCTCCTTCAGCAGCATGGTCACAATTGTCAGGAACGCTGGACCAAAACAACTATTAGCCAAATTCCTGCACCCACCCCTGAATCTTGAGAGCAGGCTCTGCAGTGCATGGCCGACTACACTTCCCATCATACCTCTGTTAGACACCAGCCCTTCAACTTACTGCCCTTTGGGCACGTCAGATTGTAGCTCCTCGACGAGACAGCAGAGGGAAAACACGTGTAGGAAAGCGGCAGCCAGGCGAAAGCAAATGGCAAACCTCGCATGGTGCCGAAAGCGCTTCATGGGGGCGCGTCTTCAGTCGACCACAACGCCCATCATCGTGGCCCCGAAATGGCCAGCCTTTTTCCAAGTCAGGATGCCCAACTTCACCTCCTACTGTCCCCCAGCCCTGGACAGCTGGCCTTCTCCACCCTAGCCCGCCCTGAGGCGCCCCAGACTACAACTCCCATCGCCCCCACCACTGGATGACAGGCCTTCCTCCGGCCTGACGCCCCGGGGGGGCACGTCCGACTACAGCTACCATTATCCGCAGGGCATGCTGAGGGGCCGCCGGCGGGAAGAAGCCCTCGCCCCGCGTGGCCTGCGGGCGCCACCGCCCCCGCAGCCCGCCTCCTCCCCTCTCCGCCGTCCCCTCGTGGCGCCGCTCGGCCGCCCGCGAGGAGGAAGGGGAGCCGGAGAAGGCGCCAGCGCCGCCGAGCCGAGCCGCCCCGCTCACCTCGCCCGGAGGAGCCGGCGGCGCGGCTGCTCCTTCTCCCGCGCGACGCGACGTCTCGCGCGGCCTCGCTCGCCCCGCCCCCGCGGGGCGCGGGCGCAGGCGCACGCGGCGGCTCCTCTCGCCGCGCGTGCGTACTAGCGCCCGCGCAGGGTTCTCTTCTGCGGTCCGCGTCCCTGCTCCTGGCCGTTTCCCTGGAGCCACGCCCCCCGGCCTGGCGCGCACGCGCCGGCGGGCTGCGCGCGCTTCTCTGCGCCTTCTCGTCTCCTTGGCAACGCAGCGGTCGCCTCGGGGAAGCCCGCCGGGCGCCCACCCTGCTGCCTTGGGGGCGCGGGGCCCGGAGGGGGGGCAGATGCTTCTGGGGCCCCGGGGAAGGTGGCTGAAGTGCTGAGGTCATTTCCCTTCCCGGTGGTCATCCCGGTCAAGGACCATTCATTCATTCATTCATTCATGTAAAGCATTTCTATCCCGTCCTTCACATGGATCTCAGGGCGGCATTAATTTCTATCGCTGGCATATCTTCTTATACAGTGCTTTTTTTGTAAGAAAAAAGGTGCCAGAACTTATGAAATTAATTACCTTTCGCACATAGTCAATCACTGTACACACACCCAGGCACATCTGTGCTGCCCACTCAGTGCAAGACCACAGGACCAGCCACAAGCCGCGCAGCGCCATCACAACCAGCGCGGACGAAGTACGCATGCATTGGATTCGACACACAAGCAGCCCGCATGCACCGTTTTAATGATTTTGCCGCTGACCTGCTACACTCGACAGGGCGATTCAGATCCACATGGATCAAACATCAAATTTTCAAAAGTTACTTTTAAAACTTGGAAAATCCGTTGAAAAAAGGTGCCAGAACTCCGTTCCGGTGTGTTCTATGACAAAAAAGCACTGTTCTTATTATTTTGCCTATTCATACCGTTATGATTAATTTTGCACCGCATTTGTACTCCCTCTTGGTCTTTTTGCAAGGAACTCACAATGGCTTACAAGTTTCTCTTTCCATCCCGTCCCCACGTCAACGGGCCTGTGAGGCAGGCAAGGCCGAGGCCATGACTGGTCCAGAGTTGCCTAGTGAGGTTTTGCCCGGCTCTCCTGGGCCCCCGGCCCAGTGCTCTCGTAGCCGTGGCACGCTGGCTTGCTTTGTCATGCTGGCACCGGGCAAGCTACCAGGAGTCCAGTGGTGCCTCAGAGACTGACAAACTTGCCGTGGTACCACTGCCTCCGTCCTCAGAAGCGCTCACCGCAGGAAGGCCGACTTAGAGGGACATGCATGAGGCTGCAGGCAGAGCGAGAGACTTTCAGGGGGAAGTTCCAAATGAAAATGTATCTTTTTGCAGCACTGCTACACACCTGGAACCTGGCACTAGGAGTAATTTCAGAACTTAAAGATCTGAAAATTTAAACTTAAAGAAACTTTAGATCTGGTTCATGTTCTTTGGGTCCCAGCACCAGCAATCGAAAAGTGCTATTGTTCCTCCTTTATGTTTTACAGTATGAAAAACATTGAAAAAGCAGTGGGAAAGCACGGAAGAGTTCCAATCTCATCTGTTCCAACCCTCCATGGCTGAGACAGGGCCCTTCACCAGGAGAATCTGGCCTGTTCAGCCTGGTGCAAGGCTCCTGGGAATGCCCGTCGGAAGCGGTTGCACTTACCAGAAAGGACCGCTCAAAATACATATGAAGCACCTGGTGCTAAAGGACACGATGTTCAAAAGCTGCCATGCATAGGATTGCAATCCTCTTGACAAAATATCAGAAAGGGACTTGATTCCTCCTTTCTTGACTCACACCAAATAAAGCTGTACATTGTGTACTTTTACCTGAAAAAGGACCTTCTGCACAACCTCCTCCTGAGCCGGAAAGTAAACAGAGAAGAAATTTAGACACCTGCAGTATCTAACAGGTCCTGCTGGTGCATGAATTTCTTCTCCATTCACTGTCCTCCCACCCTTAAATTGATATGAGATTTTTCTGTTTACTTCCCAGCTCACAAATGTGCATGTTTTCCTGAATCCAAAAAATCTACAAATCAGTTTAAAAACTACAGTGGAAAGAAACTCTTACAGGGGATAGAAGAGGCCCAGCAAAGGGGGAATCAGCAGTACCTACGTGCACACCTGAATGGGACACCGTTCATTCAGTCCCATTCAGCTGGTTTGGTTTTGGAGGAACTCCTGCTACAGGCCAAACCAGGGACCTAAAGGTAACCAGAGCATTAAAGAGGGTAGGGAGCAAGGAGTTAAAATGTCCCTCTCACTGTCCTCTGCCATTTCAGCACTATCCTGAATTTCCAGCTCCTGCAGAAGTGTCGAAATGGCAGAGGACAGCGAGAGCAGTCGGTTCAACATTTAAAAGCCAAAGAATTACCTTGCCGAGAGGCTGATATTGTTGCCACCTCATTTTAGTGCACCTGCTTTCACTGCTTTCCCCCCATCACTTTTCGGTCGACGATCAGACAGCTGCGTCCAGCACCTGTGCCCAAATCAGCCTCTGTGCATACAGGCTGGACCCCTGGGTCGGTGGCCTACTCCACTTTCCTTTCAAGGCTGCAATTTGCAAAGTCTTGACAACGAAGGACTCTGCATATTCCACAGGTCTGCAAATGACAGCAGCAAGGGTGAGACGGAAGAGCAGCAGTCGCCACACCTACCAAACAGCAAGGGGAGAGCTGGCACGCCTACCGAGGCTGTCCCTGCGACCCATGATTGAATGGATCCTCAAGGTTCAGACAACATGCCAGCCCATCATGGACTGAACAACCCCTAGAACAAACCATGGGCTGTCAGGTGGCTGGTTGCAAAAAAACAGGCCACTGTGTGGGAATGGGATTTGGACAACAGGACAACCAACCACATCTAGTTACACATGTCACAGAGAGCCAGTGTAGTGGGCAGAGTGCTGGACTGGAATTTGGGAGAACTGGGTTCTAGTCCCCACTCAGCCACTCCCCACTCCTGAGCCAGTCACTGTCTCTTGGCCTAACCTACTTCGCAGGGCTTTTCTGAGGATCAGATTGAAAGGATTATGGAAGCCACCTTGAATTTCTTAAAGGAAGAATAAATAAAACACAATAAAAATAAATGCTGTGCAAACCAGGTTATTATTTATTTAAAGCTTCAAGAAAAAAATCCCATGAAATATCAGATGATGTTCTTATGGTGGTGGTCCATTGACCAAAATATCAGAATGGGCAGGGTTGTAGATGAGTTTATAGCTCATTGCTGTCGATGAGCATTTTCCCTTTCCCCGCTGATGGGGCTGCATCTCCTTCTCGACAGCTGGGGAGGAAGCTGCTTGCATACACGCAACGCTAAAGGGAACAAGCAGAGCACTAATGAATCCCACTTTGGGGGTGAAGGTACACAGCTCATCTCTCCAGCAGAGCCCCAGTCATGGAAAACCTATATAGCAATCACTGAGTAAAAGAAGTGAAGCTTGCTACACAATGTAAAGCCATTCCCGCTTTCTAATTCTTATTGGGTGACTTCACAACTGTGGGTATTTTTTTACTGGACAGGGATCTATCAAAGCGAGTAAGATGAATAAGACTATAGGAACATATGTCTTGCCTCTGGAACATTTTCTTCTCTGAACGCACAGCTGTTGCCAGTGCGCCTGAATCATGGCAAGCAGTAAGTATGTTGCCTAAGAATCACCATTCATCTTGATTTAGTTTCATAAACATACTGATCTTCAATACATATTCCCAAGGCAGTTCACTAAAAAGGCAATAAAATGCACAATAACTCATCAACAGTCAAGAAAAATAGTAGAAAAATAACGTCACAATTGACTATTCAGATCAGATCCTAGAATCTCAGTGGAAGTTTTATAAGGCTCAGTTTCCCCAATGGTCTTTTTGGAGGAAGTGTACGTTGGCACTATTTGGGTTGTGTGTGTGGTCTTTGCAGGTGCTGTCAATATTATTTTTAAATGTTCTTTAACTGTATACGTTTTGTATGGTTTAACATAATAAATGTAAGTTGGAATTGTTTTGAAAATTTTGGACTGAAATATTAAGGCTGCACAGGTCTTTTTTGTCAGACGGCCAAGAATGGCATTTGAGGTGTAGCAAGCAACAACTGGATTCGCACAGCTTGACCCGGGGACCCAGACCACGTTTGTTTTCATGGGCGACAAGCCACACCAAGAATCAATGAGTTCTCACAGGAGTTGTATCCACTTAGCAACTCATTAATCTTGGTTGCAGCTTCCACACTTCACCTACTGGGCCCAGAAATTAGGTGTGTCTCTTTAGAAATGCAGGTAGGGTGCAGCCTTTTATTTGCTCTGCTTGTCAATGAAAGATTCTATTTTTCTACCTCCTTCTCATTATGGAATCATGAATAAGAGTCAATTCTAATTAGACTGGCTCAGTCAGGCCTGTGCGGATAAATTGGGAAGCCAAAGAGCAAAGCCAATTTTGCCTGAGTCACTTCATAGTCTTTGGTTTAATAGCCGTGTCCCATCAGAACTTGGAGGACTGGGATCAGCAGGATGTTCTACAGTAGCACAAGCACATGGTGTTCTGCAGTATTTGGCAACCACAGATTGCCAGGTAAGCCCTGCCGGCGTGAAGCAAGGCAAAGGCGGGAGAGCAGAATGCATGAAGCAGCCTGCCTGAGAGGACTGCTGGTCATGGTCTGAAGGCTGATCTCTAATAAAACATCACCTATTCCGAAGCCTGAATTCTGGGGAACACGAATTTAATCACACAGGCATATGCCGGGGTAGAGTGAGCCCCGTTCAAACAGGGTGGCCTAGCAGGGGACCCAAATGCACTTGGGACGGCAGAACTTACACCCCAGCCTGACTATCCACAGAGTAGCTCAGAGCACATCCTGGTACGGAATGCAATGCTTGGAAACGGTGCCAGAACAACTCCAACAAAACACCAAGATAGCTGAACCACTCCCACAGTGCCAGTTCCATCTACAATGCTCCTTCTGTGCATCTCTGGATCCCATAAGCCTTTTTGAAAGATGACTTCTCCCTCCAGTTCACCGCCAGCCCCAGAAGTCACAGCACTGCTGCCGACATCCCTCGGGCAAAGAATGCGACATTCTTGTCCTGGATCTTATACTGGAAAATGCGGAGAAGGTCCCTCTCGGCTTTTGTCTCCCAGGAGCTCCGTTGGACAATCGTTAACTGTAGCAGAGGGGGAGGAGGCGAAAAGACACTCAGTTTAGTTCTTCTGTAGGTCCTTTCTTGCGGGAGGGAGGATAGGGAAAAATAAATTCAGCCAGGTCTACCCAAGCTACCCACAGCACAGGCTCAGGGCTGGTTTCTCTGTTCGTACAAGGGTTAAGAACAGAGCCAAATCATTCCAGCTATAGGAAAGTCATAGCATTTATGCTCTTCTATCTCATTTACCAGGTGAAAGACAGGTGGGCCGATTGTGGACCTCCAGGTGTTCTGGCCCACAGATTTCCTCAACCCCAGCCAACTAGAGATGATGGGAGTTGTAGGCTAAAACATCTGGAGAGTCAAAGACAGGTGACAAACTTTCCTCAGGCCATTAACTATCCATATTAAGTACCCTACAGAATTTTTTTATTTGTATTCTGTCTTTTAAGCTAAACTGATTGTATTACCACAATAATACTTTAATAGTAATGATAATGTAAGCTGAATGAGCCTTACTGCTGGGCCAAAGCCTGCAAGAGTGCAAACTTATGCATGTCTGGACAGAAAAAGTCCTGACTGGAGAATGTTGGGAGTTTTTTCTGACTAAATTTCCATAAGATTTCCCCCAAATATCAGATACAGCTAGGGATATATGAGGGATCCTTCATGGGACCTTCCCCACAGATTCTGGTTGCCAACCCTGTGATCCAGTGGATCTAAACCAGCTCGCAGACTTCTCTCCCTACGCTGGGCGACAACGTGTGCATTTAAATAATTGCGAAGTTCATTTGGGTGTAACCAGCCATTTTGTGTAAACTGGCACCAAAAACTGCATGAGGACCATGTGCTTTGGGAGCACCCATTTGCGTCAACCATGCAAGATGCCACAATTCATGCAAATTGCACCATTTCAGCAACTTTCCGTGACCATTTTTTAAAATCCGCCAGCCATGGGCCACTTTAGGGACAGAAGGGCATGGGAAAAGTCTGATCCGTTCCACTCCTCAGATTGGACGTGGGCAAGAAGACTGCCAGGCGCAAGCAAGCCGGGCTCGCCAGCAGCGGCACAATGCCACACAGTCATCAAAAAGAAAAGGAGGGCTGTAGGGCTTGTCCGTAACGCTGGCTGGGAATGACGGAACTGCAGTCCGATGCACCTGAAGGGCCCCACATGGGGGAGTTCTGAGCTAGCTCAACCCCTTGCACAATGCAGGGAAAGCCCTGAGAAACCCAGGAAACATGGCTGCTCAGCCTCACCTGCATCACTTACCTGCCCGTGAACATCCTTGCAGAAGCCACTGGCCAGCCCTTCCGCTCTCAGCACCCAGCTGCTCTGGTGATGGAGCGACTTCGCCAGCAGGTCGTTCTGCTCATCCTCCGAGCTGTCGTCACTTTGCACCATCACCACCAAGTTCCCCTGCGCCAGAGAGCAATGGGGGGAGGGGGGTCAACTGGGGACACGCCGGTCCAGTTCTCAGCACAGATCAGGAAATGCCAGCAAAATGCTCGGTTTGAACTACATGGTATGTGCACCCACCTGGGACTGAAACGTTTGAAAATAATCAACCTATCCCCATGAAACCCAAGAGTTTCACTTACTTGGACGCTTATTCTGGTCTCCCTTCTAATTGGTGGCGTAATAGTCTGGTAGACCAAAAGCCCCTCAGGATTATTGTGCATTTCAAGCAAAACCTCGGGCTTTACCTCTTGCCCTTCTCTCTCCCCATCATCCCAAATCAGACCAGAAATGGCCAGAAACAGGGCTTTCTCTGTTGTGACCCCCATCCTGTTGAACTCAGCCACCTGTAAGAACAGATGCCACCGGTCCTCACTCTACTGTTATGAAAGCTGGAGCAGACTGGGAATGACAGCGCAAGACGCTGACTCCAGGAGCGACGGAGGGTCCTTGGGAGCAAAGGGTGCTCCTGGAAGAGGAAGGTACCCCCCACACACACACCGGCTCTGCCGCAGCCTGATCGCTCGCTAGAGCAGTTGTGCCAGAAACGTGTCGTTCAATCCTCATGGAAGGGTAAGATTTATCGGTACATCTGGGAAGGCTACGAAGGCGGCTGCGGGGGCTGCTCTGAGGGGCCAGTGAAGACTGACCCACAGGCCAAGACCATGCTGGGAAGGGAGAGAAAAGGCTCTGGCAGGAGTCAAAGGGGTCGAGCCCTGGGGTTATCGTCCGAGGAGGAGGCAAAACGGAAGGCTGTGGGATCGTGTGTTCCTGTGTCTGCATGCATGCTTCCAGCTGGCTCTGTGCTGAGCGGGATCAAGCTGCAACCTTTCAGGAACCAGCAGACTCACAGGGAGAGCTGCCTGTCTGCACTGATACCAGGAAAGAGCCCCCGACCATTCAGTCATTCATTCATTCATTCATTCATTCATTTATATGCCGTCCTGTCGCGAAAGCCTCAGTACAGCTTACATAAATGAAATAACATAAAATATAACATAAATAAATTCCTGATCCACACTGGCTGCAGTTAAAAACATAGAAAAGACAATATTAAAATTATTAAAATATTGCTGAAATAAAAAGGTCTTCGCCTGGCGCTGAAAAACAAATAACGACGGCGCCAGGCAGACCTCTCTGGGGAGCGCATTCCATAGATTGGGTGCCACCGCAGAGAAGGCCCTCCTCCGGGTGCTCGCCCTCCTAATGTCCTTCACGGAGGGCTCCCGGAGGAGGGCCTCTGCCGCTGATCTCAAGGGGCAGGAGGGCAAATAGGGAAGAAGGCGTTCCTTTAGGAATGGCCATGTACCATTAGCCGTAGGTGGGCAGAAAGCAGAGGCAGGATCATTCGGATTTTCTGATCGGGAAAGAGCTTGGCGCTCTGGGCGCAGATGCCCCTCCCTCCTTGCAGAAAGAGCTTGGCCAGCTGCTTCTCCAGGGTCGGAAGATGCACCGCAGGGGGGTAAAGAGGGCAGGGAGGTGCCTGAGCCTATTAGAACGGCACTCCAGCCTGCTTCCCCCCCAGTCCAAAGCACCGCAGCTTCACAACTTGCCTGGTCAAGAAGCACGGGGGCGAGGACAGCCGCCCGAATCCTGCGAGTTGAGAGGCACGCAGGCCTCCTCGTTGGATTGACGCTTATGGGTGCTTTAATGTTTTCCTCAAGCATTTCAGATTAAATACTAGCTGTGCTTTGGGACAAAAGATTCGCTTTGCTGTTCACTAAACAATACAGGTAAAATAAACATCACTCCCCAGAGCATCAACAATTTTGCAATGCAAACTGAATTCTTCCCTTTGCAATTTCCCTGTGCAAATTAAACAAATTGGATTAATCTACTTATTAGATTAATTAGATGTAATTGGATGTTTTCCCTGGAAAATCCGCATCAATCATACCCAAGAGAAAATCTCCACAGAAAGCAGGCTTTCCTCCAAGCCACGACTAAGTCGGCCTGCCAAACGCCACCCGCTTCGTACCAAGAAGACCTGCGGCGACTCGGAAGTGTGTCCCCTGATACCTTAAGCTGAGCGCTCACGGTGGCTCGGCAATACTGGATGAAATCGAGAATGTCCCTCGGCCTGACGCCCAGACTCAGCATGACGCTGAGGTTGTCCACCATCAGCACAGGGAACTTCCACAGGTCGCCATCCGTGGCTGGGCTGAGGGCCTTCCGAATAAACTCATAAAGGGCTTTCAGATCGGACCCATCTCCACTGCAAAGGATGGAGAAACGAGAGACTCGTCAGCAGGGCAAGGACCGGCCCTTTGGGAAAGAGGCAACGGCCGCCATTTCTTCTGCTTTTGGTCCCAACCTTGCCAGCTGATGGGCCACTCAGTGGTCACTGGACGGCTACTTCCGCCACAGCGCTTGAGCTGCGCTTTCCCACCCAGCGTTATTAATGCCGTTACAATGTCACTTTCGGCTCAGGGCCAAGACGTTTCGAGAACATGTTGAATGAGCTGTACAGGATACCTGGCTGTGTAACCGGCACATACAGGAGATCAAACCCACCGGCCTCCAGGTCTGTAGAAATCATCACTCTCTTCCCTCCATGCTTCCAGTCTCCACCCCAAAAGAGAATAACTTTTCTGTGGAAAGGTGGCCCATGAAGAATGAAAAGGCAGCGACTGAACAGGGAAACCTGGCCCGCTGTGGCCCGTCCTCAGGGTCACTAAGAGCAACCAAGAATGACTGAAGGGACTTCAGGAGTGAATAATCAGATTTCAGGCTACCAGACATTTGGGATTAAACCTACCATTAGTCCAGGTTATACTGGCTGGGAATGATGGGAGTCGTAGTCTCAAGCATCTGGAGGTCACCTGAGGGCCTGGCTGTGAGTCTGTCTTGGCTACTCAGCCCAGGCTCAGCCGAGATACAACTGCTGGTTAAGAGCCTCCGTGCAGAAGTTCCCCACATCCCACACGCAAGCTCATAAGAGCACCCGGAGGCTGGCTCAGTCGATGGGACTACCCAGCCCAGAATTCTGTTCCCACCCACAGGAAGCCCACAAGCCAGAACGGCGTGCCACAGCCCCTCCCACCCGTGCCAGCCACCCTGCTGTTTCTCCAAGGACTGTTTCTTTGCTGTTTCTGCAAAGCGTGTTTCATCTGCTCCCCTTTTAATTATTTACTCCTTATTTAACAGAATGATACTCTGCTTCAGCATCTCTAAAAGAAGATGCCTCCGCTCCTTACACAGAAAGACTGAAATGCAACATAATCCTTTCAGAAACCCCTCTAAAAACACAAGAACCAGATCATCGAAACATCATCATTACAAAAATTTCACAATGACCCTGCCAGACGGGCCAGATCAAGAGACTCTCCGTGTGGTCTAAGCTCCAGTTTTTAGGTCCTTTGGGGAAAGCCCCCTCCACAGGCCCCTCTCCCCAGTGAACTGTCCTTCACCCTGGGGGCGCTCGCCCCTCGTCCTCCTCAGCATCACGGCTCCTCCTCACGAGCCTGACAGACACGGGGCGGGCAGGCAGCGTCAGCGAGGCCGCAGTGCCTCTGGCCGCTCCTCCGCCACCGCCACGTTGTCTAAGCCAGCGCAAGATGCCCCGAGCAGCGGACTGCCACGAGAGCGAGCAGGACGCACAGGTGAAGCGGAGCGGGGTCCAGGAGGCCCCTGTTAGAGAGCCCCTGCTGGTGCGTGGGCCGCCGGGAGATGCCGGTCACGCACACCCTGGCCCCAGCCTCGCCAACGCTTCCCAGCCCTCCCACGCCGCCAGTTTACCTGATGAACTGGAAGGGATGGGCTTCGCCCGACTGCGACTGCTGGCCAAACAAGAAGTCATTCGCGGATTTCAGCCCCTCCAAGAGCACAAGCTGGCCTCGTTCCTTGGCTGCCGTCAGGCTGCTTCCCTGGGAAAAGAGCGGAGACAAGATCCAGCCAGGGTTGTGCCAGGGACATCGAGAGCGGCTCTTCCAGGAGCTGGGCGTCCCAGAACAATCTTGTTGGAGGCGTGTTTCCATAAAACATTTTTAATAAGCTGAAGTTTCAAGATTAGGAATGGTTCCCAGCAAAAAGCATCGGGTTTTAGGAGCGCCTAAGGCAAGGAACATGGTGACCAGCGGTGGAAAAACTTGCTGAAGTTCGTCCGATGAGTACCTGAAAAAAGGAGGACGTGACCCTGTCTGTCCTTTGGCCCTGCGAGTACCTGAAGGCAGGCACACATCCTGCAGGGGCATCTTGTTTCTGACATGCACTTAGGAGTTTTAATTAATTTGAAGGTAAGTATGTGGCTGATGTCTGCGGTAGCATCTTCAGTCACCGGGGAAAGAGTCGCCCGCGCAGTGCGTGGCTCCTTGAATTTGAAGCCATGCGAGAAGTGACACAGCTACGCACTCCCCACCCCCGGGGTGGGCAGGCCCCTCCCTCAAGGGTCTGCAGGGGTGCGCCATGACCACACGTAGAGGTGCCCGAGCCTCGATGGCTGCAGCACAGCTTTGCGCAGGGCCTTTGCTCCGCCACAAAGGACTGGCAATCCGTGCGAGGCCAGGCCTGTGGGCCGGCTCAGAAATAACATGCAGGTGACTTACCAGCTTCTGGGCCACAATGTTGTAGTGACTGAAGGACTGGACAAGAGCCACGAAACAGACCTTGCAGCCAGCTGGAAAGCACAACAAGGAGAGGTTTTGCCTTGTTCTTAAGCACAGTTGCCAGACAGAATCAGCAGAAACAAATATTGCTTCTGGAAGGCTTTCTAGAAACCGACAGGCACGGTCCCGTCATCACCACCCGCTGCCTTCAAGGCTTTCCCACATTTACGGGGTTGGACTGAGATTTATGCTAGGCTGACTGAGCTGGTGGGAACGGACTTCTCGCCCCTCCAGCCCTCTGAGAATTCCACACAGAGGCCCTGCTGGCTGGAGGGAGCTGTGGTGAGAGGGGGAGCACAGGGTCTCCCGAAACGGAGGGGAGAGAACCCTTGCCGTCGCAGGAGGCCTTTCCTCCCACGGGAGGCAGATCTTGGCTCCAAGCCCCTTGTAAGGGCTCAGATCCTGCACTGAACAACGATACGACTGGACATTTGTGCTTGTTCCTTATTGCTTGACATTTTGGAATGCAGCTCAGTCATTGTGGCTTGTGGTATTTTTGTGGTAAATTCTTGATGCGGCCAGCCTGCTTTCTGTGTTTTAATGCCAGTTTTATATCGATAGTTTTACTGTTGCACTGTAGATCACCTGATCCTTTTATTGAAGCCCAGCCCAAAAGCTCCACAAACCCTTTTCATAAATATGTAAGTACACACACCTTCCAGACTTCTGTCCCAGACACAGGTAGAGACACACGGACCCAAATCCACGCACAGCAAGCAGACAGCCCAAGCAAGAAGGCAAGCGCAGACTCAAAACTATTGTTCCTTTTATAGCAATCGCATCAAATTTGTCCTAGCCCCATTACAGATGTTTTTGGAAAAAAGCTTCCTTGAGTACCTTTCAAGTAAAAGGAGAGGAAATGGTGAACCAGGAAACTGGCGTCTGTCTTGTCAGCACAGAGCAGGGTCAGTGTGCCCTGGAAAACAGAGTGGGCAAAGATAGGATATTAAGATCCAAACCATGAGCAAAGGTAGTCCCACAATGCTTGGCATGCATGGAAAACGGGAGCACATGTGCCAGGGTAACTGGAGAGAACATGGAGGCCTGTGGGGCACAGTCCATTCATCCCAGTGGCGAGCAGAAGCCAAAGGGGCAAGTTGCAGAGCTGTGGGGGAGAGACAGAGTGGGCGAAGTGGCTGGTTTTTTCTCTGTGTGCCAGGATAGAAACGCTGTGAAACGGAGTTCCCAACCTGGCCCCCTCCAGATGCAATGGGCTCTCGTCCTAGTCACCTGCGGGCAGCATGGTCATCCTTGCATCTACAGGAAATGGCCAGAGCAAATTGTGGAGAGTCTGGGCTGACGCATCATCAGCAAGTGAATGAAGCCCAGTTCCCCCGCTTGTTTCCATCTACGCATCCCAGGGAGGCCATGGGACCCCTGAACTAGCACCTGGAGGTTGTTCTGGGCTGGGTCAAAGTGCAGAAACATAGAAACATGGAATCGGAGCGAGTCAGCAGGGGCCTCCCGGGCCATCTAGTCTGGCCTCCGGCACCAGCCGGCTCCGCTCACGACATGCCCACCATGTGGACGTCCAGCCTATCCTTGAACACCCCACCGATGGGGCCTCCACGACCTCCCGGGGAAGCCCGTTCCTCTCGTGGGAGCCCATCCCTCCCCTTGCACGCTGCTGGACCAGGGAGAGGCGCCGACGGTGCTGCTGAGGAGCCCTCCCCCCCCCCACCTTGGTTCTGCCTCTTTGAGGGCCTCCCAGGAGCGCCAAAGGGGTGGGGGGGCCAGCTTGGAAAGAATTGGCCCAGCACCTCGGAAAGCAGCGCGGAGCAGCAGGCCCAGGAAGGGGAGCGACAGCTGCCTTCTCCGCGGGGGTTTGTGCACGGCGAGAGAAATGCAGCTCGCTTCCTTCCTACGGAAGTGGTGCCTGAGGCGGCCGCCCTGGTGACCGAGGTCTCCAGATGAGCTCTTTGCTCTTGTCGCAGCAGCCAACCTGGCCATTTCATAGAAACACAGAAACAGAGCGAGTCAGAAGGGGCCTCCTGGGCCATCTAGTCTGACCCCCGGCTCCAGCCGGCTCCGCTCACAACATGCCCACCATGTGCACGTCCAGCCTATCTTTGAACACCCTCATGATGGGGCCCCAACCACCTCCCGTGGAAGCCCATTCCATGCTCTCAGGGTCCTAACTGTCAGGAAGTGCTTCCTGGCATCCAAACTGAACCTTGGCTCCCTGAGCTTGGCTCCGTTGGAGCGCATCCTGCGACTTCCTCCAGGCAAGATGGGCTAAGATGGAGGACCACCTCCAAGCCCCGTCAGCCTGCTTGCAGCACAGATCCTTCTCGCCCACTTGGCTTTGAGGGCAGGAAAGTGGGCAAGTACATAAAAGAGGGTCTTTTCTGCACTGCCCCACCTCCTTAGGATGGGTTGCTACCTGGGGTGCCAGCAGGGAGTCAGCCTGGGATTTAGGAGAACCCGGTTCTGGTCCCCTCTCTTCTATGCAGCTTCCTGAGTGAGCCTGGGCTAGTCACCGGCCCTCAGCTTGTTGCGAGGATAAAGTCGAGAGGAGGGCCACATGAGCCCCTTGGGGTCTTTGCAAGTGCAAAGAAGACTGGGACAGAAACAGAGAAACAGAGCGAGTCAGGAGGGGCCTCCCGGGCCATCTAGTCTGACCCCCGGCTCCAGCCGGCTCCGCTCACGACATGCCCACCATGTGGACGTCCAGCCTGTCCTTGGACACCCGCACCGGTGGGGAAGCCCATTCCACGCCCTCGGGGTCCTAACTGCCAGGAAGTGCTTTCTGGATATAAACATAATAGTAAATAAACCAGTCTGCAGCACTGCAACCTTTTAGGTAAACTCTAAATGGATTTACCCCTCTGTTTTATCACAGAGTGATTTATTGAGCGATTCTTGGATTTTAGCTGCAACTGAGTTTTCGACTTTAAAACTGCACTGGCCATTTTGATGGTTGGTGCACATTAGTTTTATTAATGGTTGCTGTTTTAACATCACACGGGATTTTATTGTGCATAAATGGCCATGCTGGTTGGAGATGATGGCAGCTGCAGTCCAGCCCATCCTTAGGGCTGTCTTAAACCACTAGGCTCACGAACGTTTCCAGCTAAAGAAATGCTACAAGGCAACCGGTTCCACGCTACAGGTTTCTGGCAGCAAAGGAGAACCATCCATCGGCCAGAGAACGGAGGCTGCGCCCCGCTGCCTCCCAGGAAGGACATCATGGCAAGGGGGAGCCAGGGGAGCCCCATATAGCTGCCAAAGAGGGAGCAGCCGCAAGGAATGCATTCGCTTTTCCCTGTCAAAAAAGACCTATTAAAACTGTCAAACCAAGACTCGGTGCCTGCGTTTTGGCTTTTTCCTCCTCCTTCCCAGCCCCCTTTCCTTGCGTGTCGTGCCTTTGAGATGTTACCCAGAGGACGGCCACAATCTCATCATTAATCTTTGGAAGCCGCTCTGGGAACCTTTTCGGTCGAGCGGGGCGCTAATAAGAACGCAATTAATGCCCGCGCAAAGAGCAGCTCCATCCCCATCCCCCCCGCATGGCGCAGGGACTACAACTCCCGGCGTACCCCGTTCCCGAGCAAGGCCCGCGGGGGCCCCTGGGAGCGTCCCCTCCCGCGCGCAACGGGAAGCGAGAGCGGCCAGGCCAGGCCGCCCAGAACGCGCTCCTGACCTGCTCCGGCCTTTCGACGGAGGCCCCGAGCAGTTCGTTGAGCTCTGCGAACATCTTCTTGCGAGGCTCCGGCGTCCGCCGAGGGCGAAAGGCCCCGCGCGGGAGGCTGCGAGCGCGAGAGCGGAGCCGAGGCGGCGTGTCACTTAGTGCGCATGCGCCCCTGCATCTGCCTCCGCGCAACCCCTTCTGCGCCGGTGCTTGGATCACTCGCCCCCTGTCGGCGACTTGTTCCCGGTGCGGGCGGGCGCCTAGGCGAGAAGGTCGAGTGGGCGGGCGGGAGAGTTGACCGGGAAATATTCCGAGGATGCCAGTAAGGCTTTACTCCCAATTACATGTACATTCTTATTTCGGAGTAAGAGCAGCTGAGCGCATTAGACTTGCTTCTGAGCAAGCATGGCAGAATAAGAGCAGGGTGTTCAGCTTGCAAACTGTCCTCGGCCTGCTGCCCTCCAGATGTTTTGGACCCCAACTCCCATCATCCCCAACTAGAATGCCCAGAACCTTCCCTAGAAGCAAAAATGATAAAACGGAAGCTGCCCCGCTCCGGACACATCAGGAGAAGGCAATGTGCCCTGGAGAAGACGTCCGTGCTGGGGACAGTCAAAGACCGAAGACAAAAAGGAGGACCGCACTTGCAATGGACGGACTCCATCAAGGAAGCCACGGCCTGGAGCTTGGAAGAGCTGAATGGAGCTGTCAAGGACAGGACATTTGGGGGGCTCACCAAAGGTGGGAGACGACTTGCCAGTGCGTAAGAGCAACACCACACGGGGAGGGCTGCTTGACCATAAGCCCCTGGCAAGCGAAAGCGTTTACTTTCAAGTCGGCGAGGCTGAGGCTGGCACCGGTGTCTCCCTGATGCCAGGCTGCGATGGCACAGCCGGATCGCCGCTGGAGATCCAGCAGCCCCTCGGAAAGACTCATCCCTGCCACGCACCCTGGTCTGGCTGCTCCCCGCTTGCTGCCTCCAGCGCTGTAGGACTACAACTCCCAGCATTCCAGCCAGTCCGGCCAATTCAAGTCCGTTCGTTTGTCCTGCTTCTCATGGGCATCTGTTGAGGAAAAGCAGTTCCTTGGCCGATGGCCACAGCTCAGACCACACGGTTTGTCTCCAGGCAGCAGCCAGCTCAGATTCCAGCTTCCCCAGGGAAAAATAGGCTTGGGCAGCAGGGATGTGCCGTCTCCTGCCTGAACTCCCGGGTCCTATTGCCGACTTGACAGGCAAATTGACTGGGTTCGGACAGCTTCATAACCCTCGACTGAAAAGCGCACCGTGCAGGGACAACCTGCATTCAAGCCATACCGGACCCTGGAACATGGGTTGTCTGAACCCTGTCCTAGCCTGAGTACGGGAAGAGTGGCTTCCTCTTGTTTTGGGCTCTGCTCCAACAAGGACATGCCGTTGGTGTTCCACCAGGGGTCAGCCTCGCAAAGCAGATCATTCGGGGATGGGAGAAAACCTTTGAATGCGCAGGGTTTTGATAAAACCACCAAAACGGCTATCCAAAGCTCCTCCTCTGATGTAGAAATTTGTGAGTGTGTGTGTAGAGAGAGGGAGGGAGGGAGAGAACGAGAGTTGAAGGGCTGGGTGACCTCTTCTAGCCCTGGGGTTAGTTTCCTGCTTTTCTGGGGTGGCCAAAGGCAAATGGGGTGAGACGGACTCCACACACACGTCCAGAAAAGAGGCCTAAAGCTCTTAGGCTAACGAAGCATTAGAGGAATTCAGACCTTCCGGCGCAGGACGTGTCTGGGGTTAGGAAATCGCCCTGTGCTGCTTGGGGTATGTTGAAGTTGAGGACTGCCTAAAAACCAGTAGGAATACACCTTCTGAATAGCAAATATGCTTTACAGCTGGGAAGCCAGCAAAGGGGTTGCTGATGGGACGACCCCCAACAGGCCAGGCTGGGAGCTCTGGCGGGCTGGAGCAGCCCCCAGGTCGAGATTCCCCACCCTGCTCCATGGTCTGCAATGGCCTTTCCCACCAGTGCCTCCTGTATGCACTGAACTGCAACTCCCATGCTGGTTGGGAAGGATGGGCATTGTAGTCCAACAGGGCACCAGTCTGAGGACAGAGAGCTGATCTGCAGGGCTCGGACAGCTGCAGGAATAGCTCTTCTCCTGTGCTCCGGCCGGCTTCTGCCCTCAAGGAGCACACTCGGCGGTCCCTGGGGCCACGTCCGCGGAGGGAGGCGAGCCGGCAGTCCCAGAACAGCCCCCACGTCTCGAGTCAAGTCTCAAGAGCCAACCCCCTCCTCCCTATCCTGTCCCTCCCATGGCCTCTGCGGCATCCATGCCCACCTTCCAGGGCTTCCTGCCACACGAGAAGCCCTGGAGCAACTCGGTCGTAAAGAGTGCAGAAAGTTGGCATCATTTGCTCCTTGCTCCCGAGCTGAGCCCCAGCCGAGTCGCTGAGGGGACCCGAGTCAGGCTTGGGGGAGAGTCACTCTGGAGCAAAAGAAAGCCCAGATCCCTCTGGATTCGCCCCCTCCGGATGGGCTAGACTCTCTTAGACGTTGTGCACCAGCCAGCGTGGCACAGGGCATGTGAGATGCAGTCCCACTCGGCTGGGGGGCAGCCAGTTCCAGCGGGCTGTGCCAATTTGGGACGCCCCCAGACAATTACCCAAATCCCAAAGCGTCCCTCCATTCACCCCCTGGCTGAGGGGGCGGCCCTGGCAGCACGGGCACACTGCCCTGCTCTGAACAAACAGCTCGTAATGCGCACGGACAGATTCCAAAAGGCGACACCGAATTCACAACGGCGGCCCTTGTGACGAGGCCGGGCTTTTGTGGGCTATTCTTCCATGCCCCCGCATGCCTGCTCAGCCAGTTTCCCAGGCCTCTGGAATTCCACGGAGTTCAATTCCATTCGGGCCCCAACAGGGACAGCCCCCCCGTTCCCTGGCCGCCTGCCTTGTGGTCTGTAGGTTGGAATCCTTCCACTCTGCTCACCTGAAGCCCCGGAAGGGCAGGGACCAGACCCTGCCACCCTGCCCCATTTCTCCCTGCCCCGTCTGGGGGACCCACTCGGCGGCCAGAGCGCCGGAGGGAGAAAAGAGGCCCTTTGCCCTGCAGTCCGTGGCTCTGATCCTGCGACGAGTGTGTCAGGGAGAGAAGGGCACTGCAGACGGGCTGTCCTGCCTTGCACGCCAGCTCTTTCCTTCCCACATTTTCCCATCCTTCGTTGCTCTGCCAGCCATTAAGCTTCTCACAAAAACGGGCAGCCCGCCCTCCCTTTCCTTGGCTAACTATCCAAGCATCGGAATTTAATAGCCTCGCCATCTCCAAGTGATTAAACCGTCGGGTGACCATGTGCGGCTCGCGGTGGGTGCCGAGTGGCTTGGTCAGGCATACGTTTATCCGGATAAACGGGCGCTAGGCCGTGCGTGCTAACTGCGGATCCGTGCTTGGTGGTGGCCACTCGCACCCGCCGTGTGTTCCCTTGGTCTCGCTTCCAGGGGATGGTCTGCGGCGGCGTACTGGTACCAGGGCTGGCAGGAACGCTGCTCTCAGAATGATCCGTTCAAGTTGCGAGAACCCAGGTTCAGGCTGGACATCAGGAAAAGCTTCCTCACTGTCAGAGCAAGACGGCAATGCGACCGGCTGCCCGGAGAGGCGGTGGCTTTCCCACACCGGGGACTTTCAAAGAGAAACTGGGCAGCCGTGTGAGTGGGGTGGGGTGCCTTGGTGTCCTGCAGCAGCTGGGGGGTGGACTCGGTGGCCTTCATGGCCCCTTCCAACCCTACTCTTCTATGAGTCTAATGAACATTTCCTCTTCTCTCTGAGCTGAGCTGCAGTCCTCAGAGTAGCTGTGGGCCAGGAAGAATGTTCCAGCCACATCATTTGCTGTGGCCCCGCAGCATGGATGGGACCAGTGCAGTGCAGGGCCACTAGGAGGGTGGCTGATTTGCAGGGAAGCCATGTGCGGAGAGACCGGGGGAGCCGGGTCTCTTCAGCCCGGAGGGGGGCCTGTTAGCAACATACAGGTACATGAGGGGGTGCCACACAGAGGTGGGTCAGGACCCTTTTCCCCCTGCGTGGAGGGCAGGACATGTTCCCATGGAGCAAAGCTCAGGGAACCAAGATTTAGGGTGGCTGCCCGGAAGTTCTTCCTGATGGTTGGGAGCCCGAGGGCATGGAATGGGCTTCCCCGGGAGGTGGTTGAGGCCCCAACGGCGAGGGTGTTTAAGGACAGGCTGCACATTTATTTATTTATAACATTTTTATGCCGCCCCCATCGCAACAAAGCCTCGGGGCGGCTCACAAAATAGGCATGTCATGAGCAGAACTGGCCGGAGCTGGGGGTCAGACTAGATGGCCCGGGAGCCACTTCTGACTTGCTCAGTTTCTATGTTTGGGGGTGCTTTGGGGAGGTGCAGCCCCACAGATGTGCCGAGTGCCAGGTTGGGGAAGGCTGAATTCACCTATGCCGCTGTCAAGGTGAATGTACAAGGACGTGCCCCTTCTTTGTGGTTTAGTGAGGCGTGGCCTCCTTTGGGGGCAAGGTCTAAGCCGCTGCCTTTGCCCCAGTCACCTTCTCCTCAGCCCCGGCATGGGCACACCTGGGTGCCGCTGTTACTTTCTGGCGGGCCTTCGCCTTCTAACTTTCTGGTGGAAGCCTCGTGGAAGGCTAAAAGGAGGTGTATCAATGCTTGAATGTAAAAAAACCCCAAGAAAAGGGCACCACGGCCGGAGAATGGGCCTCGACAGATGCCACAGGGTCTGAGGCGCAGATCCCTTGAAGAGTGGCTGGGGAAGGGGCGTGTTTGCACCAAAGGAGCTTAAACCTTGCAGTCGTTCCGGCCAAGAAGAGGGGAGGCGACTGCCCACTGCCATCTGTGAAGGATGTATACGCAAGGGGGTGAAAGGGTGCGAGGCCTGACAGGTGGGCCAAATTGCAGGGAAAGCCCCCGTCCATGAGAGCAGTCCAGTCCCGAAATCTGCCGAGTGGGGAATCCTTTTTAAAGATGAAGTTGGACAACTGGCTTTCTGCGCCTGTCCCCCTGGGATTCCCTCCTTCTTGGGTGTTGCACCCAAGGCACGCTTCCCACTGGACACCTTCAGGTTACGAAACCTGGATCCTCCGCTCTCCAACTGCTAAGCCCCCCAACGGCCACACA